TCACAGGAGAGGTGTTCCATCCCCCTGATCATTTTCGGGGCCCTCTTCTGGACCCGCTCCAACAGGTCCGTGTCTTTCTTATGCTGAGGGCTCCAGAGCTGGACGCAGTACTGCAGGTGGGGCCTCACCAGAGCAGAGTAGAGGGGCAGAATCACCTCCCTCGCCCTGCTGGCCACACAATAACAACATCAGCAGATTTTTACACCCTCTTTTCTTATGAAAAGAGATGACGGACAAAAATCTGTTGTGTTTCTGACAACTCCAGAAAGACCACAGTTTCTCTTCAGAGGCAAGAAAGCTGGTTAGAAAGACAGAAGGACAATTTTCTGCAGTTAATGGAGCTCAGTGCTGGATTTTGGCTGGCCAGCAATGTTCATTCAGACATCACGTTACCCCTCTTTTGTCATCTTTACCCCTCTTTTGTCTGCAAGGAGCCTGTTTGGCTGAGCAAAAGGAGACTCGATGTAGAAAGCTGTTTGCGGTGGTGGGGGAATCAGATTCAGACGCTTCAGAGCATATATACATATATATATATTTGGAAGGCGCAGCGGGAGCGGGAGCCCCAGCAGAAAGCTCCCTATCGGGGCAGCCTGGCTTTAAAGCAGAGCTAGTTCAAACACTGGGAAGAGCTCAAGCAACAGAAACCAGCTAAATCAGATGATTTATAGTAGGAAAACTGAAAACAGACAAATGTAAAGGTATCATCTGCCATCCAGATGGTGCAGTCCTTGCATAACAAAAAAGTTGCAGGGGGGAAGAGGGAACTAAACATCTCACACCCAAAACCAGAGCTCTGAAGGATGCCCCAGTTTAGTAGTTTAGTCGTTTCTCTGATAAAAATCTCTTCCCATGACACTTGGTGGTAGGTGCCAGGACCTCCACGCCTAGTCCTGAAGCTTATCAGCAGATCCCAGCCGTCCTAGCACTGCTGGTCCTCAAAGAAGCACTCTGCATCCTCCTCGGGAAGAAAATTAGGAAAAGGTTGATAGCACCAGCCAAGTGCTACAGCAGTTTGAAGCGGGACAAGGAGCAGGAGACTTCCCCAACCCTATCATGGAAAGCTGCATCTTTATGAAAGGGAGTGCATGGCAGCGTGTTGCAAAAAATCGCAGCAGTGACCCGGGAGGCACCTTCCCATCTTAGGTTCCCGGCTCGCCCTGCACGGCTGCAATCCTGCAGCATCTGCCCTGCTTTGATATTTCATAGGGGTTGATCTTTATGAATCCCAGCAGATGCAGGGGAAACTGAAGCCGCTTTCCCGCGTTCCACGGCAGACGACACGGGATGGTCACTTGGATTAGATCCTTTGAACAAAGACCCAGGATGATTTTAAAAGCAAACAGGGTTTTGCTTCCTTCCCTATGTAGGTTTGCGGCTCTGAGCCCTACACAGAGCTGAGCAGAGGGTGATAGCAAACGAGGCGATGAAGAGACAAACCCCAGCCTGCAGTGAGTGCCGAACCAAGCCCTAACTAGTGCTGGACATAACCCACAGGGAAGCTGTTAGTTTGCAATAGTAACAGCAACGCAGGTGAAAAGGAAGACAAAGGGGAAATTCATCAGTCCAGATCTGGCATTTTATGGTGTCAGAAAGCAACAGGAAGGCACAAGCAGAGATCACCTCTAAGAGAGTTTCGGGGAAGATTATGAGCAATTACACCTCGTTACAACAGTGATAAATGCCTAACTGCTGCGTATCGCTGCAACGAGAACCTTAACCCCTGGCAAGGGGCCCGTACCCAGTCCAGACCAACTCTAGATCTGTCAGTGGGCTGTGCCATATGTTGCACTGGCAATTCTTCACAAGCTTTTAATGTTCGCTCTGCCACACCAGGTGCAAGCTCTTAAAACACCATTGTATGTAACAGTAAACCCAGATATGCTTTGTTCTGGGGTTGTGTTTATCTTGGAAAGCAACTCAAGTTCATTCAAACGCTACTCTAGAATGACCCTCAAAAACCAAATAATCTCCTTTCTAATAAAGCAGAGTCCCAAAGAAAGCTTTATTTGCTGAAAAGGATTTACTCTAGTAGATTTGAGCCCAGGTAGTAGTATGCTGTAGTGCACATACCCTGTAAAAGCTTATAACAGAAGTAAACGCACTCCAATCCCTTCCTTTTATCTTGTGAAATTTATTTCCTTTCCGTGGCATTCCACGCCACTGCAGCAATCCATCACCCTGCGGTTTCATCATGTAAATTACAATTTGTCCATGTCTATACGCTTTGTCAAACGTGAAGATTAAAAGCTGCTAACAGATGTGTTTTGGCACCAATCTTCACATTCGTATCGAACTTGCTCCTTAAAAACACAGATTTGCACACAATCCACAAAAATTAAGTGAAAAGCAAACAGTTCTGGGCTTTCCGGGCTTAATCCAAATGTTTCATATCATATTTGTTGAGGTACCCCCAACTTACATTTACGGTGAAGATACAATCATGTTCTTGTAAAAATGACATGCTCTTGGTAAAATAAAATCTGGTTTTTGTTGGTACCTTGTCATATCCATCCCATCTCAGAGTCTCACAAAAGGGAAACAGTTTGCCCTATGTCCTTAGCCTTTTCCAACTTGTTGGTGATTGCACCTGGATGGATACGTCTGGTAGAAACTTCACAAGCACACACCTATCAAGTGAAATGCCTTGTTAACAGCCTACCACAAAGCCACCCCCAAAAAAAAAAATTCAAGAAAACCTAATCTGTCCAAGCAGATAAAGTTCAGAGAAGCAACCGGTTTCTTCTTCCCCTCCTTCCAAAGGCAAGGAATAGCCAGGGAAGGATGACAGTGCTCCAGCCATGGACAGTTCTGCGGCGAGCTCCCACCAGCTGCCAGACAGCCAGAGCCACATTTTGTTCTCTCACTCTACCCTCAAGTTAACATTAAGAATGTTAATAACAAC